CAAAAACGCGCAGCAGCCTTGGCTGTCGTCTTTGGTCAAGATACGAGCAGCGGTCAGCATACAGACACGTCTGGCGCGAATGGACAACCTTCCCCAAGCTCGACGCAGCCCTGCACCCTCGCAAGTGAGCTCACCCAGCGGCCCATCACAACAACCAGGCGGCGCAGTTATGTGACGGAGCTTGTCCAGATCCCGCGTCCACATCTTGAAGCCCTGCGTTGGAAAAAGAAGATCGCGCACGCGCTGCGAATAGAACGCGATCGTCTCCTTGCGCCTGTCGCAGTAGTCACTGTACTGCGCCTTATACTGCTCGCCGAACGTCGCCATCTCGGCCTCGTCGCACTCGACTAGAGAAGAAGCTCGATCTTTTACTCGGTCGTCACCTTTTCTTGGCGCTCGACCGGGATGGCTCCCGATCTCCAAGCGCATCTCGATTTCAATGTTCGCCACCCCGAGCTTCGCAGTCGGATCTCGTTTGGCTGGATGTGCACGCGTCGTCACCCGGCAGAAGCGACCTATCTCATTCGCTGAGGTGCAAGAATGCCTCGACCCCATCATCCCAAGCTCCCGAGTCATGTGCATTCGAAATCGACGACGCAAAGTCTCTTGACGACAAGGATCAAACTCTCAAGCACCAAGAGGACATCAAGCCATCACCCACACCACAACAACACCTCGCTCAACACCAACAGTATCGCGCGTGATCAAGAATGTGGCTGCGGCGTGCCAAACAGACCCCAGCAACTACTCGACGCACGAGCTCCGAAACGGCGGTGCTGCGGCCTTATGTCGTGGCAGCATGCCAGACCCCGCCCTCTCGGCAAGAAGTCACCAGACGCACTCACAAACCCACCAGCATCAACGAACAACCTCTCACCGACCTCACAACTAGATTGGCCCCAACCGCATGGCATCATTTCTGGGGGGACCGCCTCGCGCACCTCTGGCATGGCGGACACCAACACGGTTGTTGCCCCCAAGTAGCTCGGTCTTGATTGAGGAAGTGCCGTTTCCAAGAAGTGGAAGAGGTTTTCCGCGCAAGGCCGAGCGTTCTAGAGGATCAAGTTATGGAAATACGCACACGTTACAAGATCCAGGCGCAGAGCAAGCGGCTCGATCGAGCAATCCACGAATTTGTAGTATCAGTCAAAAGCTAACCCGCCTCGCCCACCTCTGGCATGGCGGACACCAACACGGTTGTTGCCACCAAGTAGCACGGTCTTGATTGAGGAAACCCAAAAAGAGGAAATCGAAGAGGATGCCTTTATTGGGACGGGACACAGGCCAGAGTTGGTTATGTGGGCGCTGAATCACGCGCCTGCCCTTCACGTGAGGGAAAATCAAGCACTGGTTCATGAACGCCGTCAAGTTGACGTATAGGTGATCAAGCTAAAAGAGCCGCTTCAAGTGAATCTTCATCACAAACTTGCTGCCGTGGCGCATCGGTCAACAATGCGCAACAACGAAGTGCCGCTGCTCCAGAGCCGAGGCGTCGCCGGGGATCCAGATGACATCCCTTGCTGGATGACTTGACCGTCCAAAGGTCCAACGTCGCGTCGGACTGTCGCAAAGTCTGGCTTGGCGACTTGCTCTGTGCAAACTTGATGCCGAAAAAATTCGGCCACTCACTCGAATTCCACTTCGTCCAAACGCCACAGCGTCTCGTTCTTAGGCAGCATCTTTGTGGCGCAACGCCAGTACCACACTCGACGCCACCACGCACTCCGAGCTCGAGTCTTCGAGTCTCTCGTGCAGCAACACGGCGAGCGCGCTGTTCTCGACCCGGTGTGCCACATGACCTCGCTTGCGGGGGTCGCGTACTTTGATTGCGCGGCTCGGAAAGACCCGAATTGTGGTGGTAGTGGCTCGCTCGTCTTTTTGATCGAGCCGCCCCAGAGCGTGGTGTACCAAGCCAACTACCTTGATACCGCGACAACGTACAACGAGGCCGAGTACGACGGTCTGATCACGGCGCTCCAGCTAGCTCAGCGACTGGCAGTGACGCATCTCACGGTGCGCGGCGACAGCATGCTGCTGATGCAGCAGATAAAGGGCATCCACCGGGTTCAAGAGGCCCGTTTGCAGAAGCTGCATGTCCAGGCGCGGGAGCTCGCGCCATGTTTTACGTGCACATATGGGAACACCACCCTCGCGAGTTCAACCAAGCCACGGATCATTTGTCCAAGCTCGCACCCGACGACTGCACCTCGTACGCGCATCCCGACAACGGACGGCACGATGTACTGCCGGCCGAGGAGCTCCTGCACGTTGAAGAGCTTTTGGCCGCCGACGTTCAACACACAACTAGTACGTAAGTCTTAGTAGGTGGAGTCTTTAGTCTGTATAAAGATTTCAATCCATATCATATCATATCATCAGGCATCATCTTTGTCCCTTCTTCTTGGACTTGGTCAGACGGGTTTTCTCTAAGCTCATGTTTCTCGACGCCTCAGTCAAGAAGTTCGTGCTGCAGCGTCCACACGGCGCGCTACCGTTGAACTTATCTACCTGCGTGATCGAGAAGTCGTCGCCCGAGGCGTCGAATCACATGAGGTGCTCAGCATCCTGATCAAAATGCGCCAGCTGAGCTGCATTGGTCAAAGCTAATTTGGCCGCGTCCAATGCCGCCTTCTCGAGAGCTCAACTACAACAGACGTATCTACGCGCTTTTAGAGCGTTGGCTTGCCCGCGGGAACGTACTCCAGCCGCTGTTGAGGCGGTATTGCCGTAATCGCAGAACCCGAGACGCAATCGACATCCAGTTGGTCGTGCAGACAAACCGTTGAAGCTGCCCGCCGTTGCTTGGGT